AAAAAAAAAAAAAACGACAGTTACAAACAAATTCCGTTATCTGAAATCTTGTAATTACAGGAGGAGAAAAAGACCTGAAGAATATAAAGAGTTTGCTCATCTCATTCTCATCAAATCATCTGATTCGTTGGCAATCAAACAGTTCAGCCCATAATCGACAGCTAACAGTTGTTATTGATCCCACTAATTTTTCAGGCTTCTGCATAATTTGCTGTAGTCTGATTACTGTCGGTATCAGCAAAAAAACTTTCTTAATTGAGCTTCTGTTGGTTGCATATTTAGGCCAAGTTGCCAGTAACCTATTTGCCGTACCACATTATAAAATATCACTGTATCGGATTCCGTTTCCAAATTATATAGCTTTTGCATTTCCTCGATGTTCTCTTCTATCACCTTAAACATTTATTCATTCAGCATTTACCTATGACTTCGCTAATCTGTCTTGTAAATTCTATTGTAGTAAGCACATCAAAACTTTAAGGAAACTCAAAACTGAGAATACATGTCTATAAATTGAACCAAAAATAATCAATTGTGACTGAAATCGCTTATTCGAGTTTGGTCTATTGTCGTACTAATATCATGGTGTTTGATACCACCCAAGATCTAATATATATTCAAATGTATAAAGGAAAACTAGTATATGTTCAAATATGTACGATAATATAAAGATATGTTAAACGTGTTTCATATAATTTGAAAGGTATGACAGTAAACTCTAGTCAGCGGATATATTTACAAGAGACCTTAAAGTTTTCTCCTCGTATTTTCCTACTGTGACATCGTAGGAAACGGAAGTATGAGAATAATGAACCGAGAAACGAGCTTGAAATTATGCAGCAAGCAATAAGAACTGACGGAAAATGGTGAAACTCTAAAACACTGACTTTTTGCTTATCTTCGATGCTACTTCCTGCACTAACTGAAGCGAATCGGAAATTGAGAAGCACGGCTGGCAAGGAACTATCAATCACAATGACATCTTCCGAGAAATCGATATCCTTAAATTTTTGAAAATATAAAATCACCGAAAACAGATATAAAATAAAAATGTTGGAAATAAAACTTGAAACAATGAGACTTAAAGTTTTTGAATTTGAAACAAACAAACCTCTAAGAAATCGAGTTTGTTCAACGAGTATTTATTTTTACCATGACATGCAAAATCCTCAAATAAATAGGACGGATTTGAGAGTCGATCAGAAAGGCGTACCAGCGCATTTGGATAGTGCACTATGTGCTCCATGAAAGCAAGACCCTCTTTGTTATAAAGGAAAACGGCAGGGATAACGATATCATCCTTGATGGTCTGATCACCGGACATTGCAAATGGTGGCAACACATCGATACTTGTACCAATAGTGTTGTCTGTAATGCAAAATTTTTGCAGCATAACCAAATATAGTCCAAATTTTAAAGGGAAAAATTCAAAAATATAACTAGCTGAAGATAACCTTTCCCTCTAGCAGAAATTACGACCATCTCCTACAATCTTTAAGAATTATTTAACTTCCAAACATGAATCAACATTTCTGTTCCTCCTAAGTATTATGTTCCTTTTGAAGACAATAAATTTGTACAACTCTTCGTAGAATGACTAAACCACCGAAATACATGCTCATATTTCTCAAATAACTTTCCGTAATTTTTTTTAGAAGTTTTTTTCAATATGCAACAAACAAACGAACCCACATATGTCTAGGAATTTAAGAAAAAACAAAACCTATTTGAAAACATGAGAAAATACAGATTTCAAGTATTACCAATAATAATGATACCAACAGCACCACTTTTCTGGACATAACGTGCTTTTTCTTGAAACATGCAATCCTGGCGCTGAACTATTGCAATACGACCTTTCATCCGTGGTGCATTTGTCAGCGGTCTACAAGCACGAAAAGGTACGGCAATCTGGACTTCTGCGATTACCTAAACAAATTCAAATGATAATTAATTTTTGGAGAAAATAAATGATCAAGTAATAGATGAACAAATAAACAAAAATAAATAATAATATATTCTCTCCCTTGTCAGTCTTCTCAGTCTAGTAGTGTTAGAGAATACTTGGACGTACTGCGGAAACTCTTGTCCAAAAGAAAAACGATACTTCTGTAAATCTATCCCAACCCGTGGGTAGCAGGGTTAAGTTTACAAATACAAGAAGTAACTTACTGCCCTGTGATTCAGATCTTGACCGAACTGTGCAGATGCAGCTCGCCAATGTAGCTTCCCAAATATAGGCTGCGACACCACCTGGACAACTCGATCATCATTAAAATCTGAGAAAAAAAACAACGAAATAATTCATCAAATTATGTGGTCCAATTACGAGTATAGTATACTCGAGTATAGTATATATTTAAACTAAGAAACAAGTAAAATCCATCGAATTTGAAGAGAGATTACAAGAGATTACAGAAGTGATATTCGAAGGCCATATTCAACAGTTTTTATTCATACTTAACAAAATAATTATAACGAGATCAACTTTCACAGTAAAATCTGAATGACAATAAGATTTTTGAAGGAAGACAAAACAGTATAAAAATTTGGTTGCTAATGAAAAACAAACCTAGTCCATGTTTTTCTGAGCTTGCTATCACAATCATTTCTTGAATGAACTCACTGCCAAGAACGGCCCATTCCGGCGAAACAGCCTAAAAAACTCAGCATTCACTTTTAATATCCGTTATATTTCCAAGCAAACTTGGATTACTCCTTTACTTTTTTTCCGATAAATTTAACATGAATAACTACCAATTATAGAAGATTAATGTAGAATAAGGTCGAATTGGTAAAAAACAGTGGTTTACTAATTAAACTGCTGTATAATGAAATGCAAAGCATGTTGAACAAGATTGGCAAACCTCATCAGCTTTTTTATATGTCAGATACACAAGCAAATGAAAACAAGCAAAATTCAGGAATGAGATTTCGTTCTATTCTAATGCGTTGCGTCCACTGTTAACAGTTGGTAAATTAAAATATGCAGAACACACTACAGTAAAATGAACTCATCTCATCTGAATCTGCTAAAAACAATATAAAAAGAGCATAAATGATGGAAGAAAGACTGATTAAACAAAAAGAATAAATAAAAATGATGTGGGAACTAAGGAAAAAAAGAAAGAACCTTTTTTGTATAAGTTAATTTTGAAGCAAAAAATGAATTTTCAAGATAAATGAAGTTAAAACACCGAACTAGAGAGAACTAAGAAATTGCTCTGACCTGAAAGTGGGAATCCAGCCCAAGTGATACTTTGGAATGATGGTCAGGGCTTGAAATTAATGAACGTATAAAAAGGAAAAACTTTAATTTTATTCATTTCTTTCCTTACTTAAAGTATTGGACAAGAGAAAGCAATAAAAAGATGTAAAAATCGAAAAATTTCAAGACAGCTAGTATTATATAGTTGAAAATATAAACTACACCCCAGTGTTGAAGTTATTATTGAAGTGGCAGCTGTGCAGGATATTATGGAGATCACCAAATAAGAAATCACTATTTTTCTAGAATTAGATTTCAGGAATAAAAATAATCTAAAATTCAATCTGCGATCGCAAAGCCTAAAATTAATCTTCATTACGAGATTTTCTAAAAACTATATGCTTTTTCGTTAATTCCAGATTCAAATCCCGAAAAAAGAACAAAAAGATTCATCTACATCATGACAAAAGATTCCTCTATAAAAGAATTCATCTACATCATGCTAAAAACAGTATGAACAAAAAATCAAAAAGTGTTTCACAGATATGCATATCACAAGGCATCAAGTGAATGTCGTACCATTACGAAAAATAATTGCTCTTGGTAATTTTACCTTTAAAAGAAACTGTCCCCCATGAAAGAATTGCTCCTTTAATTTCCCAAACTTTTCGTGTCTAATATAATCTCCGTCCACTCTGTACATGCTTTAAAGCCCTTCCTCCTCAGAACAGAAAATTTAAAATTCGTAAAACCAATCAACAAATTTATCGAGTGCTTTTTAGAAATTGAACGCCAGCAATATTCCCTCCTAAAACGCATAACATTTCGCTACATGCGTTAACTAATTGCCTTACTCGTTA